TTTTAGACTGACCGGAGGCCGTATTTCTACACCCCGGCTAATCACGCTGTTGAAATACTACTCCCAAATATCGGTTCAAGCCAAATCAGCGCGCTTGTTGGTTCCGACTATGATACTTCCGATCCATGCCAGCCAACACATACCGAATTCATCCCTGGTCTGGTGCGGCATTGGCTTACCCCCATCCTCGCTTCTCGACCGGATTATGACGGATAACCTGGTCCTTCTCGGTATTTCGTACTTTGCAGTAACCCATTCCGCGGCACTACACGGCGCAGACCCGATCCGTACCACAGAGGTGGGTACTCTACTTAGTAGGCCAGCAAGCGAATATATGGAACATTCGATAGTGACAGTATTTTGTCAACACCGGCCCGAATTGACTCAGCACATATCTTCCATTGTCGACTCACTTGGCCCAAGCTTCAAACGGGAATTTACTGACCACTTCTTCCCATCAATCTTTCCTGAACCACTACAGCGACTATGAGAGCCATTCCATATGTTCATACATTGTATCATACATACTTGCCATTTTTGAAATAAATAATATTATCCCTATTCCGCGCCTTAAATCTTATGATGAATTCCATTCGCCACCTATCTCTCCTGCTGCGCCCACTGATGTTAATCCGAGTGACTTGCACACACACTCGACGTCGATACTCTCATGCATTCCCTTTCCAGAGACACTCGACTCCTCAATTCCTAATTTTAAAATAAGTATCACGGTTGCTCTGTATTATTTTAGGGTTTAGGGTTCTGTAATAAATGTTTTGTTAAAAAAAATCATAATAAAAAAAAGTATCGGCATCGGGCCAACGGCTATTTATTTGTGCATTGTTTTGATTCTGTAAAATTGAAAATAATTTGAAACATCGAGTAAAATAAATACAGACTGTAAAAATATCAAAAAGCCTTTTTCTATCCGTTTAATCATAGCCAACAACTGATAAAAACGTTTTATAAATATATGTATTTTCAGGTACAATTTTATGTCTGTAAAATATAAAAATATCTATGTATAAAAATAAAAAAAGACACTTTTGGCAGCTGGGATATCTATTAAATAGAGAAAATAACTTCCAACTTGCGCACACAGAACAGGAAATATACATAAATACACATACAGAATACTTCGTAATATATATATGCACAGAGGTGTATATGCGTAGTGTATGCACACACGCGTGCAGTAACCGCAGATGATTCGATGCTATTGTTGACATCTGTTCCACAAATTCAATCATGTTTTCTAACATGAAAAAATGGGACCCGAAGAAACTCCTGTCAGACGCAGAGACATACGTGCGTGCAAGTACGGGGGCTACTTCTACAGGCAGTGGAGGGGAAGGTAGAGATGACAACAAGGTACAGGTAGCGCAAGGTAGGAATAGTAGTACACGATCACCTAGGATGGTATCATCTCCACACCAGACTTCTCAGTCATCTCCTTCACCAAGGCTTCGTAGAGACAAAGGAAGAAATGGCGAATCTGCGCAAAACCAGCAACAAGGCACTCCGAGACGCAAGGAGATGGATTACAATGCAATGCCTAGAGATCAACTGGTGTATGAGTTGAAGGCCTCACAAGCACAGTTTATGAAGTATAGGCAGCGTCTTAGCGATGTGGTGAATGCTTATAAGAGTCTGCAGGCTGAACATAAAGCGTTGCAACTCAGTTTCGATGCGATGCTGCCCACCGAGGAGAGCAGTGCACCGGGTTTAAGGGATGATTCTGTAGAATGTACAGTTAAAGAAGAAATCGATGTAGGACCTGTCGTAGACATTATAGAAACACCAACAGCAATAGGAGAAGTAGTGGGTCATGGCGACGATAAACCCGCCGGTTCAGTCGTTCAGAATGATTCTGCGTCTCCTGTAGTAGACAGTTCGAAGGCAGACACGGCAGTGGTAGAGAAGAGCTCTTCGGATGGTGTGAAGGACTTGGGTGTGGAAAATGATTTTGGCAATGAAGCATCGAGCACGGAAGTGGGTGCAGACAGTTCAGTGGTCACTGTTACAGTTGAGCAGGAAGATGGATCCTCAAGTGATCCGACATCCGATAAGTCTGGGAAAGTCATGGATCAAGAGTCCAACCAATCACAGATGTCAACTACAACAGGATTAGAGGCTCCCAGTGCAGACGTCACAGTGAATGCCGAGGGTGGTCGAGATGACGAGGTAGGGCGTGAGGACGACGGTGTCGGACAGTATGAGACATTGAGCTTGAATTTTGAGAAGGAGAAGGATGCCAATAATAAGTTGGTAGCCACCAATAAGGCAATCAAGGATGAACTGACGATAGCTGAGAACAAGATCAGCAAATTGAATGAGAAGGTGCAGACTCTGGCCTCATCACTGTCCATTATCACCAAAGAAAAATCAGGTATGTAGCATTTTTCCGATTTGGGTATCGGTATGCAGGGTCAGTTTCTAACTATTTCTAAAAAAACTGAATTGAATACAGACGTGAAAATAATTCAGACTATTATTTTATATAGTGGATGCCGCACTCGAATGATCTTGTAGATTGTCTTCAAGAATTTGGAATAAGTGTCATTATATATATATATATATATATAGATATATATATATTGTACATACATACACACACACACACACACACACACACACACACACACACACACACACACACCACTATATATATATATATATTATATATAT